AGGCGTGACAGTGAGGGGCAGGGATGGTGAGAGAGACGGAAAGAGAAAGGGAGAGGAAAGAAGAAAGATAGATAGAGGACAGGAGAACGTCTGCTAAGTTCCGCTAGTATATATATATATATATATATATTATATATATATATATATATATATATATATATATATAATACAAAAATAGCATTAATTGTCTTAGCTAAACAAGTTCGAGTTAAAAACAGTAACTGGCCCTAAATTTAAATACGGAGCTATTGAAGTGTCACCACATTTTTGCCGATCTTCTCCGACAAACTTTTTGTAGTCTCCATGGAAGATTCGTAATGCCTTTCAGCACTACTCTTTTTCTGGTTATAAAATGAACTGTATCTTCTCCGTGATCACGGAACAAGAAATCAAGGACTGGGACTAAACTTGTTACGAGTGTAAGTCTTCTTGCGTCCCACCATGACCGCCTACTTGTGCATCCCTGTGAAATCGGCTGAGGAACCGGCGGGCCTTCCCTACGCCGTGAGCACTGCGTGCCTTTGCAGAGGTAAGTGGCTCCATTTGACAGCCCTGTATTAGACGTTCAGATGCCAGGAAAAGTCTCAAACAGGTCCTGACAATTGAGACCCTGGGTTCTCCAGGAACCCTTAGGTCACAACATTTTGCGGCACTCCTACGGCGGATCGAGACATCCTAAACACGATGCACAGTGGTTAGAGACTCGTGGATTCAAAAAATGAGTGGACTAGATTCAGCGTTGAGATTGGGTGCATAATTCAACTGGCAGATGCCTGGAGCCTGCAACGCAAAGTTTGGAGTACGTGACCATGTTGCCAGAAAGATGACCCAGAGCGTGCAGAGTGCCAGCGAAAACAAGAGGCCTGGGACAGTAGATTCACGGGGGGTCCTTATTCCAAACAGAAGCCCCTCCCTTTCATAATCAGAATTCATATTTCCATGCTAAATAAAAACACTTGAAGTGGTTATTTGAATTAAAAGTAAATGTATGTTTTCCATCTGACCACCTCCCTTCTGAGAGTCCATGCTTACGGCCCCAACGCAACTTACTCAGTTCTGGCGAGGAATACACCTCAGATTATTTACACTAATGTGAAACATGGCCATCAGAGGCAATAGGAACGACTCATCATCGAGACAACCCTCCTTATGCGTTCAACGTCCATGACGCCTTTCTTTGGTCCACGCAAGGCGTTATTTGCGGTGACGTAAGGTCAAAAGACTGCGCCTTTGTTGGTGCGCATCTAAGGAACTTCAGATAATTCAAGGTAAGTAGACCGTTAAGCAGGCTCAGGGCATCAATTGATGTCACTCCAGCGCGCTTTGACGGGGAAGTCTCAGGGTTTGAGTCCCCACGATAGCAGAATTTCAACACTAGCTACGTAGATAGGTCGAATTCAGGTGCTGTTTGGAGGAAAATTCTAGCGGCCGGCTGCTCAGATCAGTAGTTTTTCCTGTTTTTACCGATCAACACCAGGCGAATGCCGGAGAGTACTGTAACAAATGGGCTACGGGCGGCGCACGATCTTTC